GGTACTGGGGCAGCGGAATGAGCTAGGTAGCGCCTGCCACGCAGTGTCGCATACGGGACACTTCAACAGAAAACCAGGAGGGTGGCCTCGACCGCCCAATTCAAATGCCCTGCGAGCCTGCAACGCATAGCGCCCCCACCCCCAGCGCACCCCCTGTGGCGCCATGGGAAATGCCACGCGTGCCACGCCCTGCGAGCCTGCAACGCATAGCGCCCCCACCCCCAGCGCACCCCTGTGGCGTCGAGAATATGCCACGGTTGCCACGCCCTGCGAGCCTGCAGCGCATAGCGCCCCCACCCGCAGCGCACCCCTTGTTGCGTCGAGGAAATGCCGCGCTTGCCACGCCCTGCGACCCTGCAGCGGATAGCCCTCCACCCCCCAGCGCACCCCTCGTGGCGTCGAGGGAATGCCACGCCTGTCACGCCTTCGAGCTTGCAACGCGTAGCGCCCCCACCCCCAGCGCGCCCCCTGTGGCGTCGAGGGAATGCCATGCCTGTCGCGCCCTGCCAGCCCGCAACGCATAGGGCCCCCACCCCCAACGCACCCCCTTGTGGCGCCGAGGGAATGCCACGCCCTGCGAGCCTGCAGCGCATAACGGCCCCACCCCTGTGGCGTCAAGGAAACGCAACGCATGCCACGCTCTGCGAGCCTGCAGCGGATAGCGCCCCCACCCCCAGCGCACTCCCTGTGGCGTCGAGGAAACGCCACGCTTGCCACGCCCTGCGAGCCTGCAGCGCATAGCGCCCCCACCCCCAGCGCACCCCGGTGGCGTCGAGGGAATGCCACGCCTGCCACGCCCTGCGAGCCTGCAACGCATAGCGCCCCCACCCCCAGCGCACCCCCTTGCGGCGTCGAGAATATGCCACGCCTGCCACGCCCTGCAAGCCCGCAGCGAAGAGCGGCCCCACCCACCCCCAGCGCACCCCCTTGTGGCGTCGAGGAAATGCCACGCGTGCCACGCCCTGCGAGCCCGCAACGCATAGCGGCCCCACCCACCGCCAGCGCACCCCTTTGTGGCGTCGAGGCGTCGAGGGAATGCCACGCCCGCCGCGCCCTCCGCGCCTGAAACGCGTAGCGCCCCCACCCCCAGCGCACCCCCTAGTTGCGTCGAGGAAATGCCACGGTTGCCACGCCCTGCGAGCCCGCAGCGCATAGCGCCCCCTCCCCCAGCGCACCCCCAGTGGCGTCGAGGGAATGCCGCGTCTGCCACGCCCTGCGAGCCTGCAACGCATAGCGCTCCCTCCCCCCCACGCACCCCCTTGTGGTGCCGAGGAAATGCAACGCGCGCTGTGCCTGGACCACCGTGCGCATACGTCTTGGGTGTATGATGCAGCACGTTTGTCACGCCTGCCGCGCCGTGCGAATCGTGCGCGTATGTGTCGTGTGGTATGCGTTTCATGTGTATGATACGTGTGGGGCTGTATCTGGGCGTGTGTTTAATGCGGGTGTCCAGTATGTGGCGCAGTCGTTGTGGATGTACGGCGCAGTGAATACGCCAAGCGTGCACTGGCGTTGCAAGCTCGTGTTTGTGTGTGCGCGTGTCTGCGAGTGTGTGCATGCGTGCGGCGGTACGTAGTCGCGTGTCTCATGCACGCGCCGTGCATGTGTCGTGCGTGGGTGACGGGACAAAAGGGAGAAAGGAGGAGGGGGGGAGGAGGGCGGACGGAGGGTCGTGTGTGAGGGAGCAGACGCGAGTGCGACGCGGCAGGGATGAAAACCAGAACCCGACGAAACATGTGGATCAACAGAACAGTGCCCACGGTTGGCCCCATTCCGAAAACACGAGCACCACCCCCAGGATGAGCATGGTAAATTTGACGTGGTATTTACTGAGGCGTGAAAACGAAGGCAAGCGCTTCAGACCTTATGGTGGCCCCCGGGCGCACTGAATACAAGTCCATACCAAACCGAGCGAATGGGAAGCCGTAGTCAACGAATTCGTCCAGTTTCGCCATCCGGCAGCTGCTACTACGACGACGAAGCCGCGGCAGGAACCGGAGCTTCCAAACGCCACGTGACGGCACTGGACGCGACCTGGGACCCATCGCGAAGCCATGTGCTACACATGGGACCCGGACCGCACATGCTTGAGCGAGAAGGAGGACGGAGGAGGAAAGAGAGCAGGAGGAATGCTGGGGGAGGAGGAGGAGCAGGATCCCCCTTGTGATCGCGCCTCTTCCCCTTTGACGCGGATTCGACACAGACTCGGCTCGGATAGGGCCGCGACGGGACAGACGAGGCTTCCCAAAGATGCAACATGCTTGGCGCAGCCCGCGCACCCAAGGTCACTCTTGTCTGGGGTCGCTCTTGCGTGGAGCCGAACCTCGGGTGATGCTGCTCCCGCCGTGCTAAAAGGGCCACATCCCAGAAATGAGTTCGAGCTCCCGGATAAAGTATCGAAACGGTGTCGGACGAGCATCGCCTCCGAGGGCCCGACACGTGAAAGCCATACCGTGCCGATTTTTTCCTGGTGCTCGAAACTCCTTCCATTGGCCAAGGCTAAAGTACAGTGGGGGCGCGCTCCAAGAAACTATGTACTTCTCGTCAGGGTACCCTGGGTTTCCTCACTCCGCGAGCTGCGCGGTGCATGTCCGCAGCCGCCGACGAGGCTGCTGCGGTGAGGGTGCTCTGGGTTTCCCCGGGGGTGTGCCTCGCGCGCGGGTTCTCAGGGTTGGGCTCCTTGCGAGGGTTTCTTGCGGCCGTGCTCGCACCGTAGGCTGGATAGGAGGCCACATGCGAACCTTACCCCTACCCCCCACGATTTCTGAGGGGAAGGGTGGGGTTCACTCCATTCGGGAGCTCCCGAGCGAAGTGAACCCCACCCTCCCCCTCAGAAATCGTGGGGGGCAGGGGCAGGGTTCGCATGTGGCCCCCTACTGGAACATCCGAAGCCTCGGGCCCCCTCCCCCCGGCAGCCTGGCGCCCCAGCAGCCCGTTTCGGCCCCGCGGCGGCGGCCGCCCTGCCGCAGTCCCCGGGCGCCTCCCGCCGCCCCGCGCCCCCGGGCGCCCTGCGCGGCACGGCCCCGCGCGGGGGAGGAGTGCTCCCGCTCTCCCCCGGGGATGGTGGGAGGGTGGGGGGGGCGGAGGGGCGTCTTTCCCAAATCTCTGCACGAACGAGATGGGCACGGAAAGAATGGGTACGATGCCCAACAGCAGTTCCTGTTCACTCTGAACAGGACTCGCTGTCCGCGCCGCCGCGGCCTGTGTCCATTCGAGACTGAAGGCCGCCTGCCCAACAGCGGCCGCTGTTGGTTTGGGACAACATTTGCTGTTGGGCATTGTACCCATTCTTTCCGAACCCATCTCGGGCGTCCAAAGAACCAAACGGGCCTTCCCAAACCAAACTTTGGCTCGGGTGACCCAGGTCTTGGTTTGGGAGGACCCGGCTTGGTCTGGGAAGACCCGGCTGGTCTGGGAAGACCCGGTTTGGCTTGGGGAGGGGCAGACCCCCTCGCGTTAGGTCGGTCATGTCCCCCATACGGGCGGATTTTGGGCGAAAGATATTAAACAATATTGTATAATTACCGCAGAATTATCAAAAATACTGAAAAATCGTCCCACACTATTTTTTGGACTATTTTTGAATATTCCTCCTGTAGAGGGACGGGCCCGACTTAACCCTCCCGACGTGCGTGACAAAAATCGTGACGTGAGGTTTTTCGCTATTTTCGGCCTCCAGGGGCCTTTGCCGGGCCTGGGGACTAACAAAAACGAGTCAGGATGTTAAACCGGTCCCCAGGAAGGAGTCCAGGCTCCTGGGGGTCACGTCACGAAAAATCATAGCGTCGTGTGTGTGTGTGTGTTTGTGTGTGTGTGTGTGTTTGTGTGTGTGTGGGGGTGTGTGTGTGTGTGTGGGGGTGTGTGGCGGTTTGTGCGGGTGTGTGGGGGTGTGTGG